GTAACGCGTGTTAACATTGAGGAGGTCGTCGTGTCAGTCAGTGACCTCGGCAATCCAGTGCGCCGGTGTGTGTGTGTATTTGGGGGGACCTTATCGTCTGCAGTAACGGTTACACGCGCGGGAAAGAAACGCCGAACGGAAAGCCGTACGCGTGCAGGGGAGGAGGACGGAGGAGGGAGGAGGGAGGAGGGAGAAGGGAGGGGTCGCGAGCTATTGGTATATGTAGGGTGGTCGGGTCTCGTGCGCGTGCGCGAGAGTAAACAAAATATAGATAGATAACTAAAGACGGCGTTGACAGTATGGTTATTCTCGAGTTTTGTCTATTTTTGGTGTTGGACTGGAATGAAGATGACAATATGCGTTTGATATTTCATCCCCTCTTTTTCTGGATACAGCCTCGTCCTGAAGAAGCCATTTCCCCCTTAGAAACCTCTCCCAAAATATCTCCTAGACACTTCCTTCATACACCTTCCTCCTACACACTTCCCCCTACACGTTTCCTCTTTTACATATTACACCTTCCTCCATACACCCTTCCCCCTATATACTTCCTTCATACACCCTTCCCCTACACACTTTCTTCATACACCCTTCCCCTATATATTTCCTTCATACACCTTCTCCCTACACACTTCCTCCATACACCTTCCCCCTACACACTTCCTCCATACACCTTCCCCCTACACTCTTTCTTCATACTCTTCCCCCTACACACTTTCTTCATACGCCTTCTCCCTAGGTACATCTTCAAATAAAGAAACCCTTGTTGACCCAATGTACTTGACACAATTTAATCTGTTATTTGCCCTGCGGTTCTTTTCAAACAGACGTTGTTGTGTGAGAATTCAAAAAAGATATTTTTTCTAGATAATGATATTGCTAACGATTGATTCACAGTCGGTAGACAGTGGCACGGGAGCAGCGGGTTTTTCGCTGAATTCGTATCCTCAAATTCTGAATAGCTTTTGATNCTCTCTCTCTCTCTCGTGTCTCTCTCTCTCTCTTCTCTCTCTCTCTTTCTCTCTCGTGCTCTCTTTCTCTCTCTCCCTCTCTCACTCTTTCTCTCTCTCATTCTCTCTCTTATTCTCTCTCTCTCTCATTCTCTCTCTCTCTTGTTCTCACTCTTATTCTCTCTCTCTCTCATTCTCTCTCTTATTCTCTCTCTCTTTCATTCTCTCTCTCTTGTTCTCACTCTTATTCTCTCTCTCTCTCTCATTCTCTCTCTCTCTTGTTCTCACTATCGCTTTGTTTCTCTCTCTTCTTCTGTTTCACTCGGGTCATAAGTTCAATTGAGATCAATCATTTTAAAACTGAGAATAACATATATCATAACAATATCAGTCTATTATTCAATATGACACATGTGCCTGCATGTCTGGTGTCAATTCTCTCTCCCTCCATCTATCCCTCTATCCCTGTCTTACCGCTAGATGACCGCGTCATCCCTCTATCCCTATCTTCCCGCTAGGTGAACGTGTCATCCCTCTATCCCTGTCTTCCCGCTAGATGACCGCGTCATCCCTCTATCCCTATCTTCCCGCTAGGTAAACGTGTCATCCCTCTATCCCTGTCTTCCCGCTAGATGACCGCGTCATCCCTCTATCCCTGTCTTCCCGCTAGGTGAACGCGTCATC